AAAAAAATGAAATTTCTTGGCTTAAACTACTTTCCGAAAAAAACATTAAAATAATATTTTCACTCCATTTGACCATGACTGATAATAACGTTCATAGGTTTTATTTATATCCCACTTTTAATAAAAGGTTATTAAATAGTGAAGAACATTTTTTTGATCAATTTTTGTCATCAGAAACTTAAAAGTTCTTATTTACAACTTAAGAAATAAAACTTAATAAATTTTTCATTTTATATAAATAATAAATTAACTGAAACGTCAAGCATGGCCTGCTCTATGTGCAACTTTTCGATTTCACAAATAAATATTTAAATAAAGTTAGTCAAAAAAAAGAAAATGATCAAGCATTGTCTTAAAGCCTACCCATATTACACTCTTGCATGCACTTATACGATTGCTGCCTGCATATATCTTACCGACTAGATTTTAGGCAATGGAAGGTTTGTGTAAAAATTGTTTGCTATCGAAAAATTAACAATTGGAAGTATTTTAATTAATAGCACTATGTGCACTGTTAAAAATAAAAACAAGTGTACATATAATTTTTACCCGAATATTTTTAAGCTACAGTAAAAAATGGGTTTAAAGGAATAATGGAAAATCTTAAAAAAAAGAAATTCAAAATAAATTTTTATGTCAGTTGCCATTAAGAGTTGACTTTCCAAAACAAGGGTTTCGGAATTTTAACGATGGAAACACCGCTCAAAGATTTTTTGAGAACTCTTTAATATTTGCAGAAATAACTGGTACAAATAAAAATTTTTGACGTGCGACTGCAGCGACTCCAAAAAACTGGAAAATGGTATACAACTTGATAACTTTATAAATTATAAGATATTTCATGCAAGGGGGTGGATTTTAAGGGGTAAAGGGGGTAAATTTTTGAATGAATAAAATTCGCAACCAGCGACCCTAAAAATCCTGAAGTACAGAATTCAATATCAATTACTTCATTTTTCAATTTTTGGCCAGCTCTTTGGCGATTTGCCCCACTGTGCGGTGAGCCTCTCCAGGCAATACACTTGATAAAGCAACGAATTATAACAACGTCGAATAAGCCCATCGTGGCTAAAAGATTCAGATATCCTCCAGCAAAAAGATATCAATTGACAATCGAAATAAAGAAAATGCTCGAACAATGGATAATTGAACCCTCAATCTCCCCATATAGCTCAAATACTTGGATAGTGGCAAAACAACCGCGGCCAAATAATGAAAAAAGGGTGGGAATAGTCACAGATTTTCGACTACTAATCGAAGTTGCAGTGGAATCATGTTACCCACTACCATTTCAGAAAATCTAGTGTCAGCACGGTACATCACAGTAGTGGATCTCAAATCGGGATTCTTTCAGGTAGAAATACACAAAGGTGATGCTCATAAAACGGCATTTTCGGGCCCACACAGGCACTATCAATATAAAAGGATGCCAATGGGGTGCAAAGGCTCGCCCAACACATTTCTAAGGGCTATCGCACTAGCACTCGCGGGATTAAAAGGCCATGAAATAAAAGTATATCTCAACGACTTAATGTTTTTTGCCCCTGACCTTAAGGAGCATGGGAGACGATTCACAAAACTGTTAAAACGACTGGCAACGGCAAATCTGACGATTGAACCTAAGAAATTCCATTATAGGCAACGGACAAAAAATGACTGACCCAAGGAAACTCGAAGCGGCCTGAAGTTACCCTAGACCGACGAACGCAAAAAAAGTATAACAGTTTTTAGAATTCGTTGGCTACTAAAGGCGGCTCATCAAAAATTATGCACGAATTTTCCAGCCTATATCGAGTCTCCTAAAAGCGGACACTGTATTTAAATGGAGCAACTAAGAGAAGCAGGCGTTTAAAACTCTCGTGGACACTCTGTGCAGTGGGCCTGTACTCATCACCCCAGACATGGAAAAACTTTTTGTCATCACGACAGACACATCAGACTACGCGATTGGAGCGATTCTTAGTGAGGGAAAGATCGGAAAAAATAGACCGTGTGAGTAAGCGTCTCGCTATCTTGAAGGAAGCAAGCTCCACTACCCAACATACGACAAGGAACTATTGGCAATTGTATTTGCTAAAGAGTAATTTAGACCATATTTATACGGACGCAAGCTTACGGTAGTTGCAGACCATGAGCCACTCAAGCACTTTCACTTATCTAAAAAACCAGACATTCGTTTTAACAAACTCAAAGCAGAACTAAAAGGGTATGAGTTCGAAGTTATATACCACGTAGGCGTAAACAACAGATCACCCGACGCATTATCACGAAATCCCGTACTACAAGAGGGGGGGGGGGTGAGTCCCGAACGGCCACGCCAAGAGCTATATCAGCTTGCAGACGAACAAGAGAATGAAGAACCGACCGACAGCGACAAACCATCGTCGCGCATATCCAAAGTACGGGCAACTCATAAGAAAAGAATCCCAGGTAATCCAAAAAAAATAAATATCCATGGCACCGACTTAGGAAACTCAAACGGTATGATATAAAAAAAAAAACGATATCGCGGTGAAAATATTGAAAGAGGTACAGAAATAAGTACAGAAGGTCAAGAAAATGGTGATGTGGACTCTGAATCAGAGGAGCCTTACGAAAAGAATTTGCCACCATTACAAACACTAAAGGGTCAAAACGAGTAGAAAGTACGAGAAGTTGCAGAGAAGGGAGAATTAATTTCCCAGGGAACAGCAGACAAAAAATTAGGCTATATTAAGAAAGAACCAGAATTTAAAAAGGGGATAACTACCACAAGAACACCAGCAATAGTAGAACAAAAAGAGTAATTACGAAAGGCACGCAAACGATAACTTGACACTTTGCATGGACAGAAACCGCGTTTTTCAGCTACGCAACTGTCGATAAATCTGTCAAAGGTAATAATAATAGCTAATTGTGTCACACCATTGCGTAACACTACAAGTAAAAATTAAAAAACTAATTACAGAAGAACAGGAAACTGATACAGAGGGAAAGGATGGAAGCATAAAACAAGTGAAGGAATTTTCAACTTATAAACAAGAAGAGCCGAACATACATGATTTATAAAAGGGAAGGTCTGATATATTACGGGTTCTAGTAATGATTAACATTAAAAAGCGAGATGTAGAAGACAGACTAGAAATAAGAATAGATATGTGGGAACCTAGCGAGACAAAAACGACGGGCGAAACAGAATTACACATGTCAAAAGAAGTAAGCAAAAACACTCATGACGGGAAAAATATGGTCCAATCAGAGAAAAATGAGAACACAGTACGGAACAAACGCAATGAGCACTCAGAAGTTGCACTTCCAGATAAATGGTTGGATTAATTAAAGGACGAAACGCGAAATCCTGACAAAAATATCGGAAATACCATCCGTCCCACCCGGAAACTGTTTATTTCACAGCTTTATATGGTTGTACGAACTCAACATCTCAATTGCTGAGTTACGAACAGTTTCGCGCAACTCTAATTTGTTGCAAAAATGCAGAGAACTGGAAGAAGCAAAAAAAATTTTGGAGTCACAAACAATGTACGGGAACAGCGAGTGTACTTATCTGTTCTCTCAAGAATTCAAGAGAAACTTGCATTAACCAATGAAAATTATATTTACACTCATTGTATTGCTACGAAAGACTGAATTTAGCCATTTACATATAGAAGGTGTAGGTGAAAATACACATTATACGCCTCTCATACAGCTCTCTAGCGCCATAAATACGGAACATGAGTCAGGGGCAGAGCCAACGAAAGATTACAACAGTAGTGAGAGAAGTGAGGAGAGTGAGCATGGGTCCGGACTTGACAAAAGAGCAGACAGAGGCAAGTGAAAAAAGGAGGACGAGAGTCATTCAGAAAAGGAGCAAGACTTTCCCGAAAGAGCTGTGGATACAAGTAAACATACGGAAAAACGGGGAGAGATTGGAAAGCAAACGAGCAGCAATGACGACAGCAATGAAAATGCAGTAGAGGTAGACGTAGAGAAAGCCAATGAGTTGAATATGTGCTATGCAAAACAAAAAGCGAAAACGAAGCTAACACGATCATATACTCACCATCAATAGAAAAATATAGTGTGCAGAACACGCCTATAAACGGAAAGGCCACCATGGGCACGAAAAGAGGGAAAAGACCCATCCCTACTATAAAAACTTAACAGGATTGTGGGCCACCAATTTAAGTATTAAGACAACCTAGCGTTCATGACAATAACAGAAGCGGTATCCAACACAAAGGTCATAGATGCGCTGCATGAAAGAGGATACATGAATCCGGTACGCATGAACAATGGATCAAGAAGTGTAGGAGAAACTAAAATGATAAAAGCAAGAAAAATAAGAATCATGCACATGTATGTAAAGTAGCATTTTGGAGAAACCGCACTTAAATCGAACATTAACAAGTGTATTAAGGCACTTAAATAGGTAATAGTAGCAAATGAAATAAAAACAATTGGGACTGTTAGGGGTTATTGGGGGTTATTGGGTTATTCTCTACACGAACACTGTAGTAATCCCACCAACAGTTCAAAGGATTAAAATTGTTAGAGAATATCATGAGGCGGCAATAGGCAGACATAGGAAAATGAATAAGACATTTAACAGGATCGCCAAAGACTACTACTGGAGGAACATGCGCCCAGATGTTAGACAAGTCATTCTGGGATGCGCCTCATGCCAAACAAAAAAACTCGTTCGAATTAAAACAAAACAAGCCATGCTCATCACTTAAATACCGATTAGACCGTTTGAAAACATTTCCATAGACTTCTACGGGCCCATCAGTAAACCTTTAGCAAATTAGTACACACACATACAATCTATGCAAGACTGGCTGACAAAATTTATCGTCCTCGCACCCGTGAAGAGAGCGACAGCCGAAAAAACGGTAAAAGCGATAACAGATAAGTTCATAGCATATTTTGGGCCACCGGAACATTTATTATCGGACCGAGGCACTCATTTTACGAACAAAAGCATGGACGAACTCGCAAGATTATTTAAAACAGACAAAATGGACAGCACAGCATTCCACCCACCAACGAACGGCGCCATCGAACGTATGCATCATACTCTCACGGAGTACATCAAGGCCTACGTAGAACAAAATGATCACTGGGACGAACATTTACTGATGTGCATGCACTTATACAACACAACGGACCATCAGAGTACGGAATACTCACTGCACGAACTCGTTTTTGGGCAAAGAGCAAGAACACCATCCAGTATCAAACTGCCACCTAAGGGCCAAACTTTAAATGAATATTTTAAAGAGCTAGTTGAGATTCTGATGGAAATGACAACTATAGCAGCAATGAACCAAGTTCAGGCGGAGTACCAATCGAAATACTACTATAATCGCAAACTAAATGTAAGGTATTTCTTGGAGGGATTAATGTTTTATGTGCTGAAAGAGCTATCGAAAGGTAAATATGATTCGCAATACTAGGGTTCGTATGAAATAACAGGTATAGACTATATCAACAGAAACGTCAAATTACAGAGAGGCGACGAAACAAGAGTATCCCACGTAGATAAGATCAAAAAAGCGTGTACGGTGAAGGCACCAGTGTTATATGACTCCAAAGGCAAGATGGGGCGTACAATATTATAACCAACCATTCGCATACTCAGAAACCGACTCATACGCGCACTTAGAGCCAATGTAAAATAAATAACGAAAAAAAAAAATTGCGATAGAAAATTTTGAAACATACAAAAAGTACTTACATAAATAAAAATAATAAATAGACAATAATATTTGTACAAGAAGGAAAGCAAGATAATTAAAAGATACGTTCAGTATTGTATACTTTATATATAAGGAGAGAGCCACACTCACAGCTTAACGCTGACCAAATAAAGGGGACAAATGAGAGAAAGGGTAAGGGACACCTGGTAATATACTAAAATAAATAGCTATCGATGGGGTATAAATAGTATTACGACAAGTATTCACCCCAGAGACTAAAGCGCGGGCCCGTAGGCAGAAACGGCAACTCGTAAGAAAAGAATTCAAGGCAACCCGAAGAAAATAAGAATCCATGACACCAACTCGGGAAACTCTAACGGTATAATACAAAAAAAAAAATACGATATGGCGGTAAAAATAGCAAGAAAGGTTCAGATATGAGTACAGAAGGTCAAGGAAACGGCGATGCGGACTCTGAATCAGAGGAGCCTAACGAAAACAATTTGTCGCTGCAGCAAGCACTAGGAAATAAATACGAGGGAGAAGTACGAGAGGTTGCAAAAAAAGAAGAATTAATCTCGCAAGGAGCAGCAGACGGAAAATTGGGCTACATCACGAAACAGCCAGGCTTTCAAAAGGGAATAACTGCTACAAGTATGCCAGAAATACTAGCACAAAGAGAAAAATTATGAAAGGCACGCAAACGACACCTTGACACTTTACATAGACAGAAACCACACTTTTCAACTACACAACTGACAACGAATCCATCGAAAGAAATAAAAATAGCTAATTGTGACTCACCAATACATGACATTACTAGCAAAAATCAGGAAGCAATTACAGAGGAACAGAAAACTACTGCAGAAGGAAAGAAAGAAAGCATANTTTCATGTATAAAGCCGTGTCGGCTGGGTAAAGCATTTTCTGTGGTTATGGAAAATCTCTTAAAATTAGTCAAAGTTTAAAAAACGTGGAATGTAGCATTATCTAGATGCAACTAATTTTACGCGTCCCAATTTCACGCTATTTCTTGCAGGGTAGGCGGGGACTTTTGCGGAGTACTTAAGGATTTTATGGGGGTTTTATATAGACTCCTCCGTACAAATAATTATGTTACATAGGAATGTTAACGAAAAATCTCTGAAAAAGTGTTACTTAAATTTTTTATTTATGTAAAAGCTCCATATATATGAATACAGTGTACTTTTCTCGAATTATCTTTGATTTTATTTTTGATTTTTAATACTACGGAAATTTTTAAAATTTTTCCTCTTAATTTTCAATAATCATTAAAAGCAATACTTTCTTAAGTGCTTTTTATAATTTAGAATATAAAGCGATTATTGCTGTATCTCTGTATTATTTATTAGATTGATATATTCCTGCTTTTACATAATTTCTTGATATCAGTTTTGCACTACTGGTCACTTTGTCAATGAAAGTCACTGATATTTTGTAGTTTTTATTTGACATCTTTTGATTTTATGATAGTAATTTAAAATTTAAATTTGTCTTCATTTTTTTGTATACTTCTACATTCTTGCTTCTACATATTTGTAACTAGTAAA